GCGCATTTCCTCAGACAAGTAGCTATAGAACTCTGTTGCCCACTCCACGAATGCTGCCCGGCCGACAAAACGGAATCAGATAACTGAATCGCCTAGGGACGGCTGCACTGGTTTCTCCGACTTGAGGGTTGAAGTGTTAGATTTCATCTTCACCTTCCGTTCATCAAACCCACTTTCCTTGGTTACCTGTATGAGGTGATACTACTTCTCATAACGTTGCACTGTAACAGAAAAAAGGGAAACAGTAAACAGTTGCAAGTTTCAGGTTGATGAACCTAGTGTTTTGCCCATTTATTAGGGTTGACAAGCATGTTCAAAACCTTCCAACTGTCTAAATCGGATCTGGTAAAAGTAGCTCGCAGTAATCTTCTATAAACGCTTGAAGACAGGATGACCATTGGACCTATACTATCATTAGTTTCAACTCAAAGCGTCAGGAATAAACGGTCTATAGTGTGCCCGTTCTTCATCCTTCTTATGAGATGTCCGTTTATCTTATCGAAGTGATAACACGAGATACGAATACGCATTAGACTGCATACACCGGTTTCAGCAAAAGAACGTTCCATCGAAAGTAGCTTACTCGAAGCACATCACTCAATAGGACACAATCTTTGTCTCGTTACATCAACACGAAAAATACGTTGTGAAATTACTTTGTTACAGGAGATATTGATCGCTCACGCCAAACACACCCTATGTGTAGATCTGGTAAAGTAAATGACCAATAACATTCCTAAAATAAAGGCGAATCTGATTGCGCATAAACGTGAAAATCTCATAGTGTAAAAGCACCTCGATTTCTCGATCATTTTTCTGTTTGCAACCACACAGGAATATTTGGTCTAGGATTGAAGTATTTTTTGCGCCTCCAGTTTAATTCGTACTGCATGAGAACGTATCTGTCCTCAGATATTTGTTGCAATTGTGATAATCGTGACCGAAAACGTAACCAACTCAAGACAACGACTTTATTGACTAATGCAGCAGTTAAAGAAAAATAACTAACATTCTTTTGGCTGTCATCAAATTAATTGTACCGGATCATCGATATATCTATCTTTACAATATCACACGATCCCGAGTTTGGAGGAATTTTAGAATTTAAATTAAACCGAATACAATCATAGATTTTTACGATTATTCACCTTTTATCTGCAAGAAAACGATTGCGAATAAGCGAGGGTTAGCTCAATAGGCCTCCATCATTGGGGAAAGGGAAAATGCAAATTGCCACGTACTTTATGTCTTCCGAACCAGTGAACAAAGGGAACAGAAACAATTTGCGTTCACGCCGTTCAAGGATTGGATCATTATCGGTTTGGAACCAAACACAATGTCTGCCGGACAAAGGGTTCTCTATCATCAACTTCCAAACCAAACGGAATGCTCATTGCGACGGCCACAAAAAAGAGGCACACTTTCCTGCTTGGAGGCAGGTCAAAACGGAACGTGAGCTAGAGTGCGAATGCGAAAAAAAGCTCTCGGTGTTTGCTTTACAAAGGACTATAAATGAGAAAAACTAGGTCTTAGGGGGTGTGAAGGGGGAGACATTTTTGGTAACACTTTACCCATTGCACAGTGTTTGTATTTACAGCCGCAATTCGGTCCGCATACCTAACGTTTTGTGCGTAACCACAAAAAGCGGTACACATTTGGTCTATTGATGCGTTAATGAAATAAAATGCCTGGAAAAAACTCGACAGCTTGAAAGGAATTGTCAGAATAACCTTTAAGGTGATAGAAACAATCACGAGCATAATTCGTAGACAGTAGGTTGAAATCCAAAAAAAGTAAATAGTTAGCAAACAATACAGTGAATGGGTCAACCGTAGTTGTTTAATGATTTACCATTCAATGGAGTAAGGTAAGAAGCGATTTCCCCTCTGAATCATGTAAATTATACTAGAATTAGAACATACCAGTCCACCAAAGCAAGGAGTATGGCGAGTGTAGCTTAGAAGAGCTCATTCCTTTACATTTACGAGTATTTATTTTGGCTTGTGAGTTCGAATGGTCGGCATACTTTTATTGAGAGAGAAAATGGACTTGGTAGTAATTTTACCTGCGCGTGTGGGTAGAGGTAACTTTCAGTCAAAGAGATTTTTAAAACACTACAAATTAGTTTCGGTATTTTTACACTTCGAAACAACAGCTATTTCCAGTCGGTCCCGAGTGTTTCTCTTTTAATCTTTTAATATATATTCTGATGCACCGTCTTTCACACGCATTTTTCTGACTTCTCTGATTTCAGGTGACACTTCCGCTCAGTTAAAATGATTAACGTTTCCTTAAAAAGTGCCCTCCGGTAATGAGATGGAGAAGATATTATTTTCCTCGAAATGTGCATTAGCAAAGAGTAATAAAGTGATCAAAATGGAACGCAAATTTTAAAATACCCTAGCGTGACTAACAGGGGGAGAGAATGAACGATAAGAGAGCAAGTTTTCAAACTTATGCGCCTTTTCGTGATTTCTAATGAGAAAGATGATTGGAAAGCTTCTTAAAAATCTACATGGAATATTTGAAGAGCAATAAAATGATCAGCCTCGACAATGCTACGTTTGACAAAACTTCTGCCCCAGGCCCGACATTGTTTTCTGAGTATTCAAGATAGCCGACCAAGTGCAAACCCAGGTCAACTAGACACAAATGGCAATATGTTCTCATCTCTTACTACAATTAAAGGGTATTTTGATTAAAACCCTAAACAAAACGATCCGATTCTAACCAGGTCGCACTTTTTTGTTGCTTTAGCTTAACAATTGGTACATTGTTTATTCGTTATCACTATATTTAGTCTCTGTTTTGAAAAACAACGTCGGGTTGTCAACGTACACATGTGAATAAAAAGGATTTTGAAAGAAGTTTTTGAGTGAATAACACCATCACCCAATTCACATTGTCAACCTTTTAAAAACGTAATCATAAAATGGCTTTCTATTTACAAAGTATTTTAGTCAAAAAATCAATCAAGTGGCCTGCAAACTACTGAAAGTGTATTTCAAAGTCAAAGTTTTATTATGGGCGTTTTAACAAAGTTAAAGCTTATCATGCCCCATAGGATTTTTACAGAATGTTTTGAATAACTTCACAAAGAGAAAATAACAATGATAATAATGTGTATGATCACTCACGGATGTTGAAATTTTAAGTGTTCCAATGCTTTATCTAATTGCGATTTAAATAGTTCAACTGTAGGAGCACACACTACATCAGATGGGAGAGAATTCCACGCGCCGCACACTCTACAAACGAGTGATACCGGCAATCAAGTTAGCTGTTCTGGGTCTTTACCTTTGGTGGATGTCCCCTAAGGTGATCATTATGAGATAAAGTCAGCAGAGAATGGCAGGGTGGTTGGGTTGATGCAGTATGTGATATGCCAATATTAGGTACCCTCGAAGTCGGCGGTATTGGGATGAATAGAGTCCCAGTATTTGCAGCCTTTCGGAGTATGTCTTGTTATATAGACCTTTTACCAATGTCGTTGCCAGCCTCTGCGGACGTTCTAGAGTCTTCCTGTCGCGAGTTAACCATGGATTCCATTCTTGAACGGCGTACACCGTTTGTGGCCGAACGAACGCTGGCACAGTGCTTGGAACATCCTACGTCCTCCTGCACTATAACTCCCAAATCCCTTTCATCAGTGGCATGTGGTAGTATTTGGTTCCCCAGAACGTAGGAGAAACGAGTCTTATGCCGCATGGAGATGACTCTGCATTTGGAAACGTTGAACTCGATGTCGTTGGCGATTGACCATCGGTGGGCTGCGTCGATCGTTTGTTGAAGTGCTATATGATCCTCAGGATGTGTTAAAGTTCTCCAGATCTTAGCGTCATCTGCAAATAGCAGTGTATTAGGCCCAAGGACGTGTGGAAGGTCGTTTATAAATGCAAGAAAGAGACGAGGTCCCAGTACGGATCCTTGAGGAACCCCCCGGGTAGCGATGATAGGCCCTGATAATGAATCACCAACACGAACTGACATGGTTCTTTGTCGGAGAAACTCCTTGATCCAGTNGTCCAGAACCAAACCTCTTACTCCGTAATTGAAGAGCTTTTGCAGTAGAATTTGGTGATTTACTCGATCAAATGCCTTGGAGAAGTCCAAATAAACTATATCAAATGACTGGCCTGCATCAACGGATTTTGCCCACTCATCCTGTGCAAGGAGCAGGTTTGTGGTGCACGAACGCTTGTGCCGAAATCCGTGCTGGGTTGGAGACATAAGGTCATGCTTCTCCAGATATTCCATCAACCGATCTGCCATAATAACCTCCATGACTTTCGACAATATCGGAAGAAGTGTAACAGGGCGGTAGTTGGCGGGATTACTGAGAGATCTCCCTTTGTAAATGGGAGAAATTACCCTTTCCTTCCATGCCTGCGGAATTACTGCCTCGTTGAACATCCCTTGATAAAGAACAGCCAGAGGTTTGGAAATGTTATTGGCTAGTGACATCAGAGTCCAGGGATGCATGTTGTCCGCACCTGGGGATGAATTCTTACGCAAAGTTAATAGTTTTGTTCGAACTTTCTCACTGTCAAAAGCCATGTTATCCAGTGACGGATACGGTATATAGGGTAGTTTGCTTGGAATCTGTAATGCTTCGTGTGTCGTTGCAGTAAACACCTGAGCGAACTGTTTTTTGAGGAACTCTGCTGCTTCTAGAGTGGTGGTTGAAACATTTCCGCACGATCTCAATGCTGATATTCCGCATTTCACCTTCCTTGTAGAATTGATATGTTTATAAAGCAATTTTGGGTCAGAGATGAATTTTTGAGCAAGGGTTTCTTGGTACATCAATTTGTCCTCTCGTACCAACTTGGTACACTGATTTCGCAGTAAGGAACAATTATTCCAAGTTTCGATAGATGGACATCTTCTGTACTCCCATCAGGAAACGTTCCTTTTCTCTATCCATTTCTTTGTTCGGCTGCGAATGAACGAATGACGAGTTTCAGATTTAGCACAAGTTTTTATACTTGTTGCAGCCGTTACAATTTCGGTAAGATAATCAGTGAAGCTCTTCCATGCCACAAAGGATCGTGATCATCTTCTGGGAGGACCCATTGCTTAAATATTGCCAGGTTTTGCAGCTTTTTGTAGTATATGATGGCACGAGTTCTGCTCTTTCGGTTTTCTTGGGTTGATGCGTAGCCTATATAATCAAACATCAATACGGCATGATCACTACGTCCTAGTGGAGACGTGACATTGACAGATTCCACCATCAGCTCCTCGTTAGTCAGCACCAAATCCAGTGTTGATGGTTTGTGACCTGCTCCAAATCTGGTGGGTTCTGTTACGTCGTTGTACAGTGGGTGAAATTCAATCAACTGAGGTAATTGTTTCTCGAATGGCTGGCGGGAATTCCTCGATCTTGTGAGATTGGGGCAGTTAAAATCACCCATTATGAGGGCATGGGTGAAATTTAGTGATAACACATTCCTCATGGTTTGCAACAAAATCTCGTTGGCTGAGTCTGAAGATGCGGGAGGTCGGTACACAACACCGGTTAGACATCTATCGTTTTTTGAGAGTCTTAATGAACACCATAACGAATCGGGGGCTGCGTCGGGAATATCAATCTGTTTACACTGTAGATTGCTTCGATGATAAAGCAGCACTCCACCACCTCGTGTAGGACGATCACTTCTGAGCAGCGACATTCCAGATAGAAGCAATTCCGAGTCGAGAATTTCGGTGGTCAGCCAGGTTTCAGTAACGGCAACAATGTCAAATCGATTAGTTTTCCAACGAAGTTCCATCTCTGAGAATTTGCTAAGGTAACCTCGTGCATTGGTAGAAAAACATGAAAGATATCTTCGGCAAAGAAATCTATCTGGGTATGTGGTGTTGTTTCTGCCGACCAACTGGGGGTCGGCTAACAATGGTTTTTTTGTAGAATTGGCTTCC